GTGCCCCCCGCCCAACGTGTGCAGATATGGGATGTTCTCCTTGGTGAGAGTGCTTGGGCTGGGACAGGGCGGGGCTCCCTGTTGGTGCTGTGCTTAGCATGCCTGAGGTCCTTGGTTCAACCCCAGCACCAAGAAAGAAAAAACAAAAACAAGAAAGAGTTCTTGTGACTGTAAGAAAAGATTAGTATGTTTGAACATTATTGAGATACAGTAAAATGCTAGATTTGCCCCAAAATGCTGGAGAAATTCCTTTGCTGTATCCCCTGCCTACTTCCTCTCCTGTCACTGTTGATTTTATAATTTGATCTTTGATAAATTCTTAGGAATATAACTATTGTAATAACATATTATAGTACAACAGATTGAAGTATTTCTTGATTGGTTCCTGAAACTATTAATGGTAAAAAATTCTTCGATGAGTAAGAAACTTAAGACACTATGGAATGGTTGTCTGAACATGTGTTTACCCTCCATTAAAATCCATTAAATATTATAAAAAACATTTTTTTAAAAACTCAAAAAATTTTTTAAATGCACTGAAAATCATTTAAAGTTCCCGTTGTGCCTGTTAGGTATACCTATTAAGAGGTGGGTAGGTAGACAAGGAAAACAGGTGTAATCTTACTTGTTCATTTTCCAACGTAGGACAAGTAAGATATGAGAATCTTTAGAAAAGCAGCTATATCCTTTCCCACTCCCATTTCTGGGGTTTGAACCCAGGGCCTTTGAACTGCCCTACCTCTGTAGCCCTTGTGTTGTTTTTTGAGACTCTGTCTCACTAAGTTGCCTGGGTTGGGCTAGAACTCACTGGCTAGGGTGCTGCAGTTAAAGGCATAGCCACCACGCCTCGCATCTGGTTGTTTTGTTTTGTTTTGTTTTGAAGGTGAAGGAAACAGTTAAGAACAAAACACATAGTTCTTGGAAATTAAAAACTATTATATTGTTATCAATTCAGAGCAAGCCTCAGGGAATTAAAGAGAGAACTGTGAAAACAAACTAACTAGATCAGTTATCTATAGTCTGTCATGTTCCAGGATATAGGAATAGCATTAATAAAAAAGTTATTTAACAGGGTACCGCAGAGTCAGAAGAGCCTCTTTCCTCTTCTCCAAACCTTGGTCTTGTTAATGTGGATAAGTTCTATTGATCTTTATGAACTATATCACCATTTTTTTGCCTCTTAGTATTAAGCCTTCCTTTCTGGAAACTGGATTGTTAACCAAGTGGGTCTTCACTGTGGGTGGTTTTGTCCCCTCCTTTTTCTGGGGACATTTGTGAATGAATACATGCAGACATTTTTAGTTGCCACCGTGAGAGGGAAAGGCAGAGTGGGATACAGCATTGCTTCTCACTTCTGCTTGGGTAGAGGCCAAGATGTTGTTAAACAGTCTGCAGTGCCCCCGTCAGCCCCACACGGGCAGGAATCATCTGACCGAATTGTCCATAGTGCCAAGTTTAACAAGACGTTCCTCCTAAAAAGCTTAGTAGACCTGCAGCCCAGCCTTTCCTTTATCATCCAAGACTCAGAAACCATCGAAGTTAAAGACTGATAGTTGAAAATTGGCAATCATTTTAAAGCTAAACTAGTTGTGATTCGTTCCTAGAAAGTAGATAAAATTTGTACTACTTCACTTCGGCTAGTCCACCTGCATAGTAAAACTGAAGGTGTGATGTCAGGAGTGACACTTGCCCGGGGCAAAGTTCTCTGTGACTACAACGACCCTTAGATCTAGCTTGCTCTCTTATCAGTCTGTCTGGCGCGCCTTCCCGGGACTGCAGCCCCTCCCTTTTCCTTTGCCCGACAATTCTGGCTAGAGAGATTTGGCCTGAGGCTTCCCCCTCAGGCTGGCTCAGTGGAAACATGATTGGCCCGAGCTCCCTGAACTTCCCTTTCCTCCCTGCTTCGAAGTTGTAGTGAGGTCTCCTGGAGATAATTCTTTTTACCGTCTCCTAAAATATTTTAATTTTAAGGGATTTTTGTTTGATGTAGAATTGTAGATCACCAAATTTGTTCCTTTTTTCCCCCATTAAGTTTATTGGCACATTTTAGATATACATTATGATCACATTCATCACTGGGATCTTGTCCCTTTACATGATTTATCTTCGTTCTTATTTTTCCCATTCCCCTGCCCTCCCCTCTACCCCTCCACCCCATCCAATTTATAAAAATTTTGTTTCTGTTTTTTCCTTCTTTTCTCACCCCCCCCTTCCTTTGGTCTATTTCTTCCTGTTTCATATTATCTATTATACATTTAGGTCTTCATTTATACTTTCAGTTTCTCAAACACACCAGAAAAACTATTCCATATTTAACATGTGTGTCCTCTTTATTTCACTTAAGAGTATGGCCTCAAGGTCTATCCATTTAGCTGTAAATGTTTCTAGTTTATCATTCTTTATGGTGGAGTAGTACTCCATTTAGTAAAAACACACAAAAAAACCCTCACATCTTCTTTATCCAGTCACTAGTTGATGGGCAGCTGGGCTGTTTCCAAGATTTAGCTGTTACAGACTGTGCCGCTGTAAACGGGGTGTGCACATGTCGTCACTGTGGTATGGTGCTTTTAATTATTTTGGGAAGATACCCAGTAGGAGAATAGCTGGGTCGAATGGGACCTCTAATCCTACTTTAAAGCTATCATTTCATTGTCATTTGATCTTAGTGTTCCTGATGACAAGTCAGCCTGTCATTCTTTTTTTTTTTTTTTTTTTTTTTTTTTTTTCCTTCTTCAGTACCAGGGACCAAACTCAGAACCTTGAGCTTGCAAGGCACACACTGTGCCACTGAGCTAAATCCCCAGCCCACAGCCTGACAATCTTACTGTTGCTTTTTGTATATAAAGTGCCTCCTGTTTCTCACCTGTTTTCTCTTAAGATTTAGTCTTGATCTCTGTTTTGTAGCAGCTGGCTTTGATGTTTTTACTTCTGTTTTTCTTTGTATCTAGCTGGCTTGGGGTTCTCTGAGTATCTTGGATGTATGGGTCAATATATTTCATTACTTTTGGAAAGTTCTTACATGTTCTTGTGCCCCATAGTCTCTCTTTTCCCCTAGGACTAATAACATGTAGTATAGATTGAGATTGTCTCATAAAACTTGGACGCTTGGTTCCAATTTTCTTCAGTCTTTTTTTTTTCTCCTTCTGTTTCAGTTAGGGTTATTCCTCTAAGTCTCCCAATTCCTTTCTCTGTTCCTGCTTTTTAGCCCCATCTTTTTCCCTAAATTCTTTCACATTTCTGTGACTATTGTTCTGAAGTCCCTGCAGGGTAGATTCATTACCTTGACTGGCTCTGGGTCTAACTGTTGACTCTTGATTGCTTCACATTTTCCTGTGGTGATTTCGGACTGAATGGCAGATGTGTGTGGAAGTGAGAATGGCATGCTCCTTCTGCCTGGCCATCAGCATGAGGATGTGAATGTCAGTGCAGTGTACACTTTCTGTGAGTCTGAGCTTTGTTTGTCCAATGGGCAGTTCCTCTTTATCTCAGGTCTCCCGCCTTCCCTCACACTGAGAGCTCTTCTCAGCCCTCTGGCCTTTCTGTATGGGGAAAACCACTGCCTGACACTCATTTTAACGCTCAGAGTCCTGCAAGGTTTCTCTGGGACCCCTCAGCAAACTCTGCTTTCCTTGCCTCAGTCTCAGTGCTGCCTCCTATGAAGTGTGAGGCCAGAATACCTGCAGGTTTCTTTTGGTTTTCCTGACTTGTCCAGAGGCTGCGTGCCTCTGTGCTGAGAGTGCAGCTTCATCCCAGCTACGTTACCTTGAGTCTGACAGTGCCCTCACATTCTTTCTCACCTCTGCGTGCCTTGCCCTTGGATCTCTCTACTATCCAACACCCATGTTTTCAGCTTACCCGTTAGGCCTCACCAGCCATTTTTGGAAAACTTTTCTCATAGGTGTGTGTTCAGGGTGCCTTGTGTCATCTGTGTGCTTCTGCAAGATGATTTAACTACTTTGTGCCTGGGTGGCTAATCCCTAACATGGGCATTATAATAATACCGATTTCATGGTAATTTTGAGGATTAAATGGTTTATTAGGTGTTAAGTATGTGCCTTACTTTCTTCATAGCCAGGGCACTGTACGCAGTACCCACAAGTTAAAGGAAGAAAGGTTTGTTGTAGCTCACAGTTTGTAGAGGTTTCAGTCTGTAGTTGGCTGGTTCCAAGGCAGTGAGGCATGGGGTGGGGAGAGTTGGTGATGCATCAAGAAGGGAGGGGATAGGCTCTTCCAGGCCATGCCCCCAGGGACCACCTTCTCCAGCCAGGCTTCACCTCCCCACATCACATTTAGTAGACTCACCAGTGGACTAAGCCACTAATGAGTTCACCACCCCCGCATCTGGTCACATCCCCAAAGCCCCACCTAAGAGTGTGAGGCTTTGAGGGAAATCTAGACATAAAGCATAATGCAGTCCAATTTAGGCCATTGAGAACAGGTCTTTGGAATAATACTCCCCAGATTGAGAGTCCCTTAGCTTCTCTGCCTCAGTTTCCCTTATCTGTACTTGTCAGAATTACTGTGAAGTTAGTGGAATTATTTCGTGCTGAGCACCTGGGACACTACTGCACACGTTTGAGCTTAGTAGATGAAGCTGTGAGGACAGCTTGTCCTATTGGAGCATTCACTCACTGTGCTGGAGTAAAATGATTTATTTTCCTCGATAGTCCTCAAGCTCTGTCAGGGCAGGGGCTGAATTCTCACTCAGGGTGGCTCATGGAAGGGAACCAAATATTTGTCCAGTGATTAAACCCAGGAAAAGGTTAATGGCAAAGTATGCGTGACAGCAGCCTGTGGTTGAACTCCCTCCCATGCTGTGTAGCTCCACTCAGTTAACCTTGCATTATTCTGAGAGTCTTTGTAAGAAAAAGCTGTTTGTTTGTTTGTTTGTTTATGTTTTATTTTTTTGGTACTGGGGATCAAACTTGGGGCCTTGTGCTTGCGAGGCAGGTAAAAAGCCTTTTATTTTTTTAAAAAATGAATTTTCTCTTTTGACTCATCTGTACTGTCCTTTTGTCAAACACTGTTTTCTTTGACTTTTAGAAAAGAGCGAGTAAAGAGTAAAGATATATGGTGTTCCCACCCAGCATTGACTTGTTTTCCTTCGAAGCTGCCTCCCCCTGATTCTCCAGGTGAATAGTTTTTCCCTTCACTTTGTGCCTGACAGGAAACATGGAACTTTCTGGGATGTATTTGTGATGTGCATTCAGTGTTACCAGACTCTCAGGATGATATGCCTGTTAAAGCACAGTATGCAGCATTTCTGTGTAGAGATACAATCCTCCATTAGCAAGGCTTTGGAAAGTTGACTGTTTTGCTGTATTAAGTGTAGTCTCTTAAAAGTTGTTTGAGATTTTTTTGTTGTTGTTTTTTTGAGACAGGGTCTCACTATGTAGTTGAAACTGACCTGGAACTTACTATGTAGCGCAGGCTGGTCTCGAACTCATAGTGATCCTCCTGCCTCAGCCTCCCAAGTTCTGGGATTACAGGCATACCCCACCACGCCTGGCTTGTGTGAGAATGTTGATGGAAACATAAAATGAGGGGCAGGAAGGTGAAGGAAATGTGTTTTTAGATTATATAGTTTGTGGTTGGACTGGGGATTTAGCTCAGCGGCACTGCACCTACCTTTCAAACACAAGGTCCTGAGTTTGATCCCTGGTACCAAAAAAAGAAAAAAAAAAGCAGTTTGTGGTAGAGCTAGGAGCAGAATTTAGAAGCACGACAATTAAAGGGAAATTATTGTCCTTCTGAAGGCTCAAACTGGTTCCCATTGTGTCATCGTTCAGTGGGTGTCTGCCTCAGTTTCCACCACACACAAAATTAGAAAAGTAAAAATTGTTCTGTGAGAGGGTACTTATAATAAAATGAAACTATGTGAAAATGCTTTCATAAAAGAAAATAATGTAAAATACTGCTGTTTAAATACTTTTTAAAACCTTAGTGTCAGAAATCTGACATTAAATGATAAGGTCTTTTGATGAAATATGTTCATTTCTGTGAATCCCAGTTCTGTGCTTGATTAATTTCTTGACCAGAGAGTAACTTTATATTTTATAAATATTCCTGGTACTTTCTGAAGGATTTTTCACATTGACAATTTATAGTCAGTAATTGTGCTGTACTCTTTCTTTTCAAATAGCTGCATATCTTTGGCCAGGGTAGAGTTAGAACTCTGGGTCTTTGTCCTTCTCTGTGCCTGGACAGCTGCAGAGGCCTCCAAGTGATCACCTTACCCCCAGCCATGTGCTGCTGTTCGAATTTTTATTCAAAAACTTCACACTCTCCATTACTGCAAACCCATCAGCACTCCCCATCAGACCTAGGTCCTTAGCAGGCAAAACTTCTGTGTAGCCAGCTCCCCTCTGCTCATCCGTTTAGTTGTCCTGACTCATCTGAAGACTTGGGACCGCTTCCCTGGGAAGCCTTTCCTGGCTACACAGACCATTACCACTTGTGTCCCTGAAACTTTGAACAAGGTTGTTTACATTTATGCCTTTCCTGGGAGCTTCTCAAGGGTGGGAACTGACTCATTTCTCTTCTTTTTTAACTGTCTCTTCTCAACATTTAGTTAGAACACCATAAATACTAGGTGAATGAATGAAGGAAGATCTAAGCTCTAGAAAGCCTTGTAGCAAATCATTCTGGAATGGGTGCTTATGATTACAGACTGACTCGGGGCCCTGCGAGCCCCCGCATGGGAACTGCTGGTGCCTGCGTTTTCACAGCCTCCTTACCAGCAGTGATGCACAGCAGTTTAAGACTTTGATCCTTTGATGGAGAGCTTTGCAAATGCACCACGGATTCTGTCTCGAAGTTTCTGCTTATGGTGTGCCTCTTTAGTGGCCTCCATTCCAATGGCATTATCACAAACAACCCTTTGTTCTAACTTAACAGCCTGCCGTGTTCCTACCATAAGTTGTATATGGCTTTTTGTCTTTGTGTGATCAGGGCTTAACAGGAACTTCTTCTTCGAGAGAGAGAAGCTAGAACAGCCTGATGTCTGTACTGAGGAAAGGTCATTCTTAAATAAGATTTTATCTTTGTTGGACCTCTCAGAGTAGCTAAATCCGGTGAGTCCTTGCTAGGTACCAGGGAGTGTGGTAAATTAGAGAAATGATGAATAGGATTATGTTTCTAAACAACTACCCTGGAGATGGCATTGTTATTTACATCTTGTAGCTACGATCGCTCCCATTTTATAAAGGAGCAATGGAGGCTCCCGCTTGCAGCTCACTAGTGATGCCCTGGCCTCAGAGTCAGGTCTGTCTGACTCTAGAGCCCTAACTCGTAGCTCTTCCATAGCCTGTGACTCAGTGTGACGCAGTAATTACACTCATCTTGGGAATTACTATAGTACATATATACATTGCATAGATTTTCCCCAGCTCCCAGGAACACGATGAATAGCCAAGGTTGAGAGCCACAGTTTCCTCTTGGGTTTTTTTCATTACTGTTTCCTAGGTTCAGAGTGGCTCAGGAAAACAGCAGTTGCCTAACTACCAAGGCTGATTTTTTTGTTAAGCTCTGAGCTAATTAGGACCTTGTTAGCTGCACTGAGAACTTAATGATCATTTATAACCTGCTTTTATGGGAATACATTTACGAGTGGCAAGGTGTGCTGGGTTAGGGAGAACCTGTCTCAAGGTTCTATTGCCTACCCGTCGATGGGAACCACACTGTCAGCCCAGTTGTGCAGAGCTGAGCACCTGACTTGTGGCCTTGTCTTTGTCCCTTGTTTCTTCTTTTAGGGGGAGAGTGATGATGGGGGGCGGGGGGTTGAATCAGGGCGCCCTCACTTGATAGGCAAGCATTCAGCCCCTTAGCCCTGTGCTCACCTTGTCACTTGGTGTAGTTGTGGCTTTTCAGCTCCTCCTGGCCTTTTGTGTTGCCTCACCACGATGATAAGCTAGGCCCCTTTCTGTAATCTCCCCTAGATGTAGACTCTGAATGTACTGTCTGCAGAGTGCCAGCTTGCAAAATATTTCCCACCTGTTTTTGACTGCTTAAATAAATTTTGAATAAACTGAAGCACCTCCAGGTCCCAGAAGGTAGTGTAAGCGACTGAAGTCTGCCGGGAAATGAGGTCCTGGGAAGTCCCCTGAGAGACCATTGAAGGAAGGCGCCAAGTGTGGTTGTCCCGAGAAGTTTCCTCAGTCTTTGCCATAAGCAGGAATTGTTGGTGGGGCGTTGAGACTTCAGTCACGTGATTGGAGCAGGGTTGGAAGACAGATTCTGTTTCACGTGCCAGAGGGGAAAGGAAGCCAAATGACCAAACAGAAAGCTTCGTGGATAAGCTTCCACATGTAGGAAAACGATAAAGTGCTGTTCACTTCCTTGTAAAACATAATTCTTCATCTTAGTCATATATTGGAATTCAAATAATATTATGAAGATTAAGTTTGATAAGGGTTTTCTTACTGTCTTTTAAGGTAAAAGATAAACATTATAACCCTGTCTCAGAGAAGCTGTAAGTACGGAATATGAGCAGAATCCCATCGTGTGGGGAAATAGTTCAGAGTGCAGAACTATTAGATCTGTTTTCCCCATCCCATTGCTAAAATATTTTCTATTTGATCATTTTCCTCTCTCAGATATCTTTTTTTCTTTTATGTCTTATGTATGGGAACAACACTCATTTTTTTTCCTAATACTATTCCTCTAGAGTTCTGTAAACTCTTTAAGACTTTCTAAACTACTTTGTGGAATGTGTGACAAATTGTTCCATGTATAAAGTATCAGAAGGTCCTTTATTTTTAAAATCCAATTAGGTAGATTTCGGCTTCCTTCTTAGCTGATCTCCTGAGATAAAACAGCCACTCAGCAGTCCCCTGGTGCACTATAAAATGAAATGACTGCACCTGCTCAGCACAAAGGCTCCAGTGGATTTTGGAACACTTGTAACGTGGAGATGACACTGTTACACAATATTGGATTCCCGGCAGGATGAAATGTACTTAGCTGTGAGTCTGGTCATTGTAATTTACCGTGAATGCAAATTATACCATGCAGCAATGTAGTCTGTGTACAGTGCTGAGATTACATCATCAGTCATGGGTTATCTTACTCCTCAGAAATACATTTAGATATTTCCAGATAACCAGCGTTTAAAGTCAGATTATTAAAAATTTTCTCAGTGCCTCATTTTGTAAAAATTCTAATTTCAAATCAAAGTGAATGTGGAAGTACAAAAACCAGCAGAACTATAATCTTGTATGAAATCTATAAACCACAGAACGATGGCATTGTGATCTCCAGGGCACAGGGAGCCCTTGAAGTTTGATATTGTTACTGGGGCCCTAGCCACATGTTTGTCGTCCCCAGGGGGAGAGGCCCTGGGCGCTAGAAACATGAGTTCCAGTTTGAGATCTAAGATGGCTGAAAGAACTGAAAAGGAGCAGTTTGGTAAACTTTTTAAAAAGCTAATATCTCTCAGTCTCTGAAGGGCTGGCTGGCCAAATACAGAAATTCCCCTCAAGAAAAGAATTTGGATTTTGGAAGTGATTAAGGAGGATTGACATTTCTTGGGAAAAGGTATTTAACTAGTACATAGATCAGGGTCAGCATACTCTGGCCTGTGGGCAAAATCCAGATGCCATGGGCTCAGAATGGTTTTTTCATTTTAAAATGTTTGGAAAAAATGAGTAGTAATATTTCATGACACTTGAAAATTAGGTGAAATTCAAATTTCAGTGTTCATGAGGTTTGATTAGAACACATCAGGTTCTTTCATCGATGTTGTCTGTGATTGCTTTTTTGCTGCAGAGGCAGAGCTGAGTACTTACGTAGAGATGCTTTGGTCTGCAGGCCTGAAATATTTATTATTTGTGTTTATTAGAGCTTGTCCTGAAATGTTTGTGAGTAAAGGCCAGAAAGAAAATAGTAAGTGTAGTGTGTCAGTGTTCTGCGCGGGAATGGACATCCTATGGACTTGGGTAGGTAGAGGGGAGGTGTATTTTCTGATTTCTGTCACCGGTTTTACCAGCACTGGTCTGTGCCTCCTCACTGGGACCACGTGGTCAGGGTCAGCCACCCAATTCATCTTGGCAGCTTTTTCATGTGGCAGAATGTTAACAAACAAAAAATCCACCCCAGACCAACCTCACATCCCAGTCCTCAGAGTGATTCTGGA